CCTCCTCCCCCCTGTTCTCTCTCCTCATTCACTCCCTGCGTTCTCTGTGCTCCTGCTCGCTCGCAGGCGGCTGGCGGCGCGCGGCTGCTCCTGGGGACAGCTCGAGCTCGAGGCGCTGAAGGCTGGGCTTCAACATGTTGCAGCTGCGGTATGTCACGGAGGAGCAGCTGGCCGGCTTCGACCAATACCAGGTAAAGAAGCTGCGAGCCGGTGCTTTCCATGTGTCCCGCGGGCTTGGAGAATACCCCCCTGCCCCCCGCTGGCAGGCTAGACCATTAGTGCGGATGTAAGGATGTGTGTGCATATATATGTGTGTGTGTGTGTGTGTGTGTGTGCACGCGCCCGCGCATGTGTGTGTATAGGGGTGTGCGTGTGTGTGTGTGTGTGTGTGTGTGAGAGAGAGACACACACACAGAGACAGAGAGAGAGAGACAGAGAGAGGGAGAGAGAGAATCCTCGCCCTCTGTGTCCAGGCGCCGCGGCTTTCCTGCCTGTTTCTGGGCTGCTTTTCCTTCTGGGCGATGATAGCACTGTTGCTGCCGCCCTTGTCACTGGGGGATAGACTAGGGAACCTACGGAGCTGAAAAGTTTGCCTTCCGTCTCGCTCTGATCTCAGGCCGGAGATTCCCTCCTTGACACCCACGGTTGGGGTCAGAGGACGTGGGGGCTCCTTCCCTCCAGGCTGGTGTTTGAGAGGAGGCACACGGTGTGAGATTGCTTCGAGTTTCTTTCCTCTGATCACGCACGAGCGGGAAGGGATGCACCCAGGGAGCAGTTCCCCCTTCCACCTCCACGCGGGGAGAGGCTGAAGTGGATGCGGGGAGTTGGGGGGTGGGAAAGGAAGCCACACCGGAATTTTATTGTTTTTCTCTGGATCGGGGCTCAGAGATGCCAGGGCGACTACTATCCCGCCGGTTCCTCTGCTGGGCGCCGCCCTCGGTCGACTTTGCCCTTGGCTTTGATGGTGCTGTAGCTGGCTTCGTTGGGTAAGGAAGGGGGATTGGCTTCCCCTAAAATCCAAGCAAGCAAGCAGGATTTGAGCGCTTAAGATGAGGCCTGCTAGGGCAAGCTTAACGAAGAGGTGCAGGAGGTGAGACGTCAGGAAGAGAGAGCCTACTCTAGGGCTCTACAGCTCTGACCCTCTCCCGCCCTGCCCCCCCCCCCCCCACCTAAACTCCAGGCTTTGATCTCCTATTGCAGATTTGTTAGCGATTTTATATCTCTATAACTCTCTATACACACATATATGTGTCTCAGAGATGAGTGAGGGCGTTCCTAAGAACCTTCACAGGTGCAAACTTTGAATTACTTAAGGGAGTATTAGTGTTCTGAAAGTTTTTTTTTTGTTTTTTTGTTATTTTTTTTTTTTTTTACTTTTCCAAAATAGTATAGCTTTATCCTCTTTGGAGAATTATGGATGTTGGGGGAAAATTAGTGTATTTCATTTCAGGAGAAGGTTTTTCTGATACACACAGGATCATGTCCAAATAAATGGCAGTAAAATGCCTTTTCATCATCACTGTAAAGACTTTATAGACTTATATAGGTGTTCTTAGCTTTGTTGCAAAACTCAATAGATGTGACATAGTTTCTGATTAAGTTAATGGAATAAAGTCACCTGAACTCACTGAATAAAAAAAAAAGTTACACTTTATAGAATTTTTGGGTAATGATTGATAATGTTTGGAACTGTCAACTGAAGTGTCATTTCTATGTTGATATTCATTCATTCATTTATTCAGCTAGTGAGCAATCATTTGTGGAATGTAAGCTCCTTGGGGGCAGCTACTGGTTCTTAGCCTAGTATAGTACTTTGAAAGTATCTGGTGGTTAGTAAATATTAATTAAATGGAATTGGGTGCTTACTTTGTGGAAGACACTCAGGTAGTATTTGAAATTATTTTAAATCATTGGAATCTATTATTGACTAAAATAACTACACTAGAGGTGTAGGGTACTTTTAAACAGGAATCAGACAAATATCATAAAGTAAAATATGAAAATATGGTATAAGAATTCAATATCATAGAAAACTTTGATTCTCTTATCATATTTGAGCAGAGCTCTGTATCAGTAAATTTATCAAAGTAGTATATTTTCCAACAATAAGTAGGCCTAGTTCACAAACTTCTTAGAGTACTAGGGAATTATGTGATTTACATAATGAGGTACCATTACAGTTGTTGAATGTGGGCAGGGTTACTACCTTATTAAGTTGTATGGCTTTTTAAAAAACTAATTAATCAGAAAGTACAATCAGAGAAAACTTAAAAATTCAGAGGGACTGAATTTTTAAAAATCCCTTTCTTACTCCTCCATATTCTGATTTTCTTTCTTTTTTTGGAAGGGAGGAGAGAGCTCTTAAAAAGGAAACTATTATGGAAAAGTTTCCAAGATGCTATCTTTTGAGGCAGTTCCACAGAGGAATAGTAAGTGGCTAAAAATGATGAGAGATTGGGATGCCATTCTAATATTTGAGAGTAGTGCAGAGATGAAAATTAATTATGTTAGCTGAAGGAAAAAGGAAGTAACACCAGGGCAGAATGAAAAGAAAAATATAAAGAATTAGAGAAAATAATAAAATTTTGCCTTTCTAACTCTGATGCCACATTCTGCAAGAAGTCTTCCCATCTTGTAGGTGAAATTTTTCTTTCCTTCCTAAAGTTTATCATAGTCTTTGTCTGGACCTCTCCTTTGTACCAGTTTTACTGTCCCTGTGTCACAGTCACTTGTGTATGTGTCCTTTCTTTAGATTTTGAAGGTATCTCTTTGAATCATCAAAGCATAGCTCATAATACCTTGTATATGATGCATAGGACCTTGGGCATAGTACAGTCCATTTCCTTACCTTTATGAATACAGTTAAACTAAATTAGACATACCAATGAATCAGCAAGTATTTATTGAATAATGACTAAGTTCGGGACACATTGTTAAAACTGGGGAGATACTAGTTGGGCGATAATTTTCTTCCTTCCTTCCTTCCTTCCTTCCTTCCTTCCTTCCTTCCTTCCTTCCTCTCTTCTCTTTCTTTTTCTTTCTGTCATCTATTTGTCTTTCTAGAGATAATCTATATCTAAGTGAATAGTTATAGATATGTGTATCTATGTCTGAGGCAATTAGGTGGGCCAGTGGATAGAGTGCTGGACCAGGAGTCAGAAAGACCTAAGTTAAAATCCAACTTCAGGTACTCACTAGCTGTGTGACCCTGGACAAGTCACTTAACCTCTCTTTGCCTTAACCCATTGGAGAAGGAAATGGCAATCCACTCCAGAACTTTGCCAAGAAAATGGAGTCAGGAAAAGTCGGTCATTACTGAACGACTGAACAACAAATATCTATGTCAATATCTGTAGAAAGTTTGATTGATAAATAGCTAATATGGAAAAGAAAGACAGATAAATATCAAATGAATGGTATTTCCATTAATTGTTATAGGAGTAGGGAAGAAGGAAAGAACATTTGTAGGCTTAAGTGATCAAGAAAAGCTTCATGGAGGATGTGGGTCTTGAAGGGAGTAGAACTTATTTAGGCAGAGAAGTAGGTGGAGTGCATCAGTGGGTGAAGTTAAATAAGAATCTTTTATTTTTAAAGTCTTAGATTATAACTATTGCTACCATTATCATGCAAACCCTTATCACCTTACACTTGGACTATTGCAATAGCCTTCTGGTGGATCTGCCTGCCTCAAATTTCTCCTCACTCCAATCCATTCTCCATTCAGCCACTAAAATGGTTTTCCCAGAACACAAGTCTGACCATGTCACACACACTCCTACTCAATAAACTCCAATTTATTACCTCTAACCCTATTATCTGGAGGATCAAATATAAAACACTCTGTTTGACATTCAAAGCCCTTCATAACGTAACCCCTTCCCACCTTTCCAGGCTTCTTATGCCTTTCTCCTCACCATATATACTCTTCAATCCAGCAACACTGGTTCCCTTACTATTCCATGGATAAAACGTTCCATCTCTATTATGAGCATTTTCTTTGGCTGTACTCCATCCCTAGAATGCTCTCTCACCTCTGCTCTGCCTACTGACATCCCTGGCTTACTTCCTAAAAATCCCATCTTCTATAGGAAGTCTTTCCCTACTCTTCTTAATTCTAATGCCTTTCCCTATCTTAATTATTTCCTATTTATCCTGTATATAGCATGTTTGTACATATTTGTTTGCTTGTTGTCTCCTGTAGTAGATTGTGAGCTCCTTGAGGGCAGTGTCTTTTGCCTCTTTTTTGTATCCTCAGCACTTAGCACAGTGCCTGGCATATAGTAAGCACTTAGTAAATGTTCATTAATGATGGATAAAACCCTACCCATCTTTCCCATGTTCAAATGTCACCTTCACTATCAAGTTTTCCCGATCTAACTCTTCTCTGAACAGTGGCAACAGTTTGTACTGTTGTCATAATATCTTTCATATTCTGCTACCTTGTGAAAATGTTTCCACTAATGTGGTTTTGCAATAATACTATTAATACATTATAACCAAATACCACTATACTATCAAGAGACTTAGTTTATAATTTTTACTGAATAGGCAACATTGTTCAGTCATGATGTAAAACAGATGGTCAGTGAGCCAATCAACAAGTATTTATTAAGTGCTTATTATATGCTGAGTTCTGTGATAAATATTAGGAAAAACAATGGAAAGAAGGACAAAACGTCTTTTTGCTCAAGAAACTCACATTCCAATGGTTGAGACATCATATAAATAACTAGGTACATACAAGACACATACAGAGTGGATGAAAGGTAACTTGTGTTTAGTTACTTCAGTTGTGTCTGACTCTTTGTGACCCTATTTGGTATTTCTTGGCAAAGATACTAAAGTGGTTTACCATTTGCTTCTCTAGCTAATTTTAAAAATGAAGAAATTGAGACAAAGTGACTTGCCCACTGGTCACATAGCTAGTAAGTGTCTGAGGCCAGATTTGAACTCAGGAAGAGGAGTTTTCCTGACTTCAGGCCGGACACTATATCCACTGTACCACCTGGCAGCCTGTCTAACTACCTCGTAGTTTATTTCATCTGAAGTTCTGTTCTGGAGGAATATGTTATGATATTAGGTAAGATATACCTTTATTTTTGTTGCAATAAAAGCTACCTCACTGGTTGAGTTCCTTGAAGGCAAGGGCTATTTTTTTAAAATTAACTTTTGTGTCTCCTTAATCTTTACA